AGGTGAAGGACATTGGATTTATGTACCTCCTGTTCCCACTTGTAAACCTAGTGGATCAGGGCAGGAAGGGAGCGTGTAGTGTAATGCAGAGGTTCCCATCCAGGTGGTGCTTTCAGGAGTGCATGGTGCGGACAAGGACTCAGCCTCAGCGTGTGGGCTCCTATCTTAGTGCTGCAGCACCTGCTTATGGGACAGAGGGAGCCTCACCTTCCTCATCTGTGAATGTGGTGGCCACAGTGGGGTGACTTCTTAAGTCCTTTCTATTTCAAATATTTTGTGATTTTGCAGTTACAATTACATGTGAGAACAAATAATGCATTTTAGATTAAAATATGTTCAATTATCTAGCTGATTTTGCCTGATAATTGGTCTTTCTCTTTTCTCTCTTTTGTAAAATTATATAGAACTGCTATGATCTTCTGGTCAGAAAGAAAAGGCTTATCGTTCTCTTCAGCCACTGGTTACTTCATGCCTATGGGATAATCTCCATTTCCAGAGTGGGTAAACTTGAGCAAGATTTGCCCCTCTTGGCTCTGGTACCTACACCAGCCCTTTTTTACTTGTTCACTGCAAAATTTACTGAACCTTCTCGGATACTCTCAGAAGGCGCCAATGGACACTGAATGAAAATAAAAGCCAACAAACCTTAAGAAATGTTCTTAGTTGAAAAATAAAAGAAATTTGAAAAACATGTTAATACTATTCTGTCAAAGGGAACAAAATTGTCTTTACACATATCTTATGTTTGGGTTTTGTTTTGTATTTCTGACTTAACAGACTTTATGGTTAGGACTGTAGATGTGGAAAATAGAAAACACTGTAACACCGTTGCACAGCTCACAACTGTCCAGTATGCCAGACGCCTGTCGGGCAGCACGTGCCTCTCTCCACAGCTCCGTTCGTTATTCTTTCGGGCAAGTTCCTGTTTCCGTGTGCCCTGGCAGTGTGTCACTCCCATTTTACTAAGAAAAACTTTAACAAATACAATCTGAAATCCTTAGCAGTGGGGTCATTGTGTGTGCCTGTTGTGTTTCAATCTGTTTTCTACCTTAGTGAATTATGAAGACAAATGTATTTGTGGGCTCTGATCACAAACATGGAAATAACGTATATTGTTTTTTGTTATCTATTTATTTTCACCAATACAGTATTTTGATATATTACAAAAATAGATCATAATTTATATAACCAGTTTTCTGTTTATAGTTTTGTTGAAGACTTGTTTGGATTACTATTCCTGTAGAAAAAACAATAATAAAAAGCTTAATTACAAAAAATTTCAATGTTTTGACCTTTAAGTTATCTTTTGGCACAATAATTATGAATGTAATTAATGATATTAAGTAATAAGATTCATGTTTATTTCCCAAGTGAATAAATACATGTACTTATATATTCCTCACCTCTTCTATCTCATTTCTGAAGGATTTATACACATACCATACTTTATTGATCCAGATATACATTTTTTTTCACATTGTGACATCTCTGAATCAGAATGCATCTTATACAATTAATAGCTCCTTAGATTTAATGAAATGCAGAATATATATAGTATATAGACAGTTCCCTGCAGTTCGCTTGTGATAGATATACCGTGATATTTATGCCTCTGAAGGCTTCAAGAGACTCATGGGCACAACCAGGGAAGCAAAATTAACTTTTTACCATTTGACCTAATAATCTGATCATGTTTGTGCATTTGTATTGTTTAGAAGGTTATTTACTGATTCTGCTACTTGAGTTTGGGCGAGTTAGTTAAACCTCAGACATTTAAGATTTCTAGTAAAGTAGCAAAAGTAAGTTCACTCACTTTTCCTGTAGTTCTGTTTATGCCTTTGAATTCATAGCAGTTGTGTTCTTGAGCTATTTTGTTAACTGATTCTTTGTTACTGTCTTTTTCCCAGTACACACAGCTACTGAGAAACGGACTCTTTTGGGGGAACGAATTTGTTTCTTCTCTTCTGTAGAAATAAAAATGAAAGGTAAAAATTCTATCTGTATTTCATAGAGGTTTGGGTGGTTTTTAGTGTTCATTAAAATTCTTGAGTTGCCCAAAGAATTCTCAAGTAGATAATTGTGTGATTGGGGTGAGAGGGGTGTTGGGGCCGGTGTCAACATGTACCAGGATGATGTTTTCTGATCCCACTACATCTGCAGCCATTTTAATCATCTCAGATGGCCTAAGATGAGCAGAATATATATATATACACACACACACACACACACACACACACATATTCATATTTGTATATATATGCAGGATATTATGATTACAAGTATTCAAAGGCAAAGAATTTCAGGAATACTTAACTACACATCTACATTTTTAATTTGCTTTCATAAGAACAGGACTCAATTCATAGCCATTTTTGCTAATGTTACTAAATAAAACATGATCATTAAAAAGACAACAAAACAACCCTTGTCTTAGCTTTGTATAAGTGGGTCCTTGGACCACATGCTACAGTGTATGCTAATTATTTTACCAACCAGTTCTGAATAGGCAACTTGAATGTCAAGATACAGAGTGAGTATCCTATATCCAAAAGTGCTTGAGACTGGAAGTGTTTTCAGATTTTGAAATAGTTCCCTTATATTTACCAGTTCAGTACCCCTAATCTGAAATCTGATGTGTCGTAAAAGACCAGAGGTCATCTGCTGGAGGCCTTGTGGAAGGTCTAAGGGTTACCTGGTGTTAATCTACAACCTGGAAGGAATGTTTCCCAGAACCTCTAAGAATGGTTAGCTCATTAAAGGCAGAAGAAATTGGTTCTATTGTATTTTTGTGTTTAAACCCCTCAGGAGATAAGAGACTTAATGAGTGTTTAGATATCTCAGCTCCTGGAGGTTAAGAAAGACTAATCCTTATACTTTGGTTTAGATACACACTCAGAATCAACTTATTTACCTTTTATTTACAAAAAAGAAAAGGCAAAAAAGCAACAATCTTAGCTTTCAGGATGAAGTCTGGCATCCAGCCTTCCGACAGGCCTACCCCACACCCTTGCCGTTGGTTCCCCAAGCAGATCTCCAGGCAGCCTGGCCACGTGCAGCTCCTGCCCGCTCTGGTCTCACGTCTGCACCACTCCTTAGGGAAGACGTTCATGTGTAACATCCGCCGGGCCTTAGAGCTTCAAATCAGGTAGCCACTTGCCAGGAGGAATCCACTGTGTTCCCATCTCTTCACTTGTCTGTTTCTCACAGGGTACAGGCTTTAAGGTCAGGGATTGGCTTCTATTCAACTTGTCACTGCAACATCTGCTCCAGAGCTAGGTTTACAGCAGCCCAGCGTTAGCAAAGCTCTGTTGTGATCCTGAAGGAAACCACGGGACCGGCGGAGCTGCAGTGATGCCTTGTGGCCAGAAGGGGACAGGAGAGGGCTTACAGGGCTGGAAGCGATCAGGGCTCCCAGAAGCAATTCAACAAGGAATACTCAAAAGCCGGGAGATGACAGGTGGCCCAGAGAAGGTGGAGGAATTCAAGAGGACAGACTTCTAGGTTACCGCCCCAGGAGGGTAGTAGGTTTCAGGGATTTGATGAGTGCCTAATATGGGTCTTGTTTTGTATTTTACAACTCCCGTTATCAGCCTTATTTTACAACTGGGGAAACAGAGAAGTGGGGATTAACATATAAGAAGCAGAGCTGAGATTTGAGTCCAGGGCTACCTGGCTCCAAAACCCATGCGGTGCCAGTGCTCCCCGAGCAGAAGTGGGGTGATGGGTAGCCAGAAACCTTCCTTCAGGCCTCAGCTCAGTTTCTAGGTCAGAGATCTTTCCCCTGATTCCTTAACCAGGGTAAGTCTCCCTCTCTCATACTTCTATGCCGCACCTTGAGTACACCTGGGATTTTATATAGATTTGTACCATACCAGATTCTCCCGCTGTACCAGGGATGGACAAGTTGCAGCCTAATGGCCAATTCTGTTGCAATGGCCAGTTGAGTAGTTGCTACTGAGACCCGATGGCTGGTAAAGCCAAAAGCATTTATTATCTGGCCTTTTACAGGAGAAGTTTGCCATCTCACGTGCTAGACTGTGAGTTCCCCTTGGGCAGGAACTATGTCTGTTTCATCCACGATTGCAACCCAAGTGTCTAATCTGGTAGTTGGCACAGAATAGACAGTAAATACTTGTTGAATACAATTTAGTGTTAATGAAAATGGGACGGAGCCTAAAAGATGGAGAAATTTTAAGTATCAGCTTACCCAATTATTAACATATTAGTGGTTGCAAATAGTACTGCTTTTTGCATTGAAATGCTTCTGGTAAATAATCTATTGACTGAAAATAATTGTTTTGGCAAGAATATATATTTCTTCATAAATTAAGTGCCTTCTTTTCATTTTCAATGAAAATTTTATTTTCCCCACCTTGTTTATTGTTTATTCTTTGTTGTGTGTCCCAGAACAAAGAAATCAGCCTTTGTTCTCTTTCATGTCTCAGCCTATGTGACCTTCGGGCTTTGCCATGTTGCCAGCAAACCTCACCCAACTCTGTGAGTGACCAAAGGAGGACATGACATCAATGTCAACACTCTAGTTCAGGGGTTGGCAATTTTTTTCTGGAAAGGGCGAGTTAAACCTTTTAGGCTTAGCAGGCTATGTGGTCTCTGTTACGGCTAGTCTGTCATTATAACACAAAAGCAGTCATGTGCAGTGTGTAAACAATGAGCATGGCTGTGTTTCAATAAAACTTTATGGCCCCAGAAGTTGAATTTCGTATAATTTTCTGATGTCATGAAATATCATTCTTATGATTTTTCTCCATTTAAAAAATATAAAATCCACCTCTAGTTCTGGGCCCTACAAAAACAGGAGAGAGGCTGGTTTGGCCCCAGGTCATAGTATACCAACTCCCCACCATACACAATCTTTACAACATTCTTAACAACTGGGAAAATGGGAGACAACTGAGAACAGGGGGAGGAGTTCAAAACTAAAGTGCTCCAAGCTTCTATTTTGCTACAGTTCTCTACAGTCTACAAACTTTCTTCAAAGTCTGTGGTTTGACTATACTAATGATGGCCTGAACAGAAATTTTGATCATGGGAGATCTCTAGGCTGTGGTCTCCAACCTCCCTTAACCCTTACATCATGTAACTCAATTCATAAATTACAGATAGACAGATCTGTAAACATAGACATAGATGAAACATAAACAAAAATAGGAATTTTAAAGGATAACAAAAATTGAATTTAAACAGATTTTTTAACATGTGTTTCCCTTGTATGGATTGATCATCATGCCCCACTTCAGAGATTATCAGTTCTCAATCTAGAATCTCTGACTGAGGATCTACATCTTAGCCAGTTATCAGCGCATCACCTTTGACTGCAGTTGCATAAGCAGGAGAGAGCTCTGCTGAGGTCAGAGCTAATGCTCTGTGGGGTCCCTGTGAGAACTGAGCTCTAGGGCTAGACCCAGCAACTCTGGTTCTTAAAGGGGAGGAAGTTGACTCACTAGACTGTCGAGATGGGAAAGTCTGGAAAGTAAACATCCATTCATTCTATCACTTTCCTGACTAGGCCATTATGTGTGAGGTGCTGTGCTGGACTCAGCAAAGAAACAGTGCTCAGTCCAAATGCTCTTTTCTTTCATGAAACAGAACTAAGTAATAACAGGAATAAAATAACCATGCATTGTAACAAATACTCATACGGAAAGAAATGCTGTCCTGTGATAGCCAATAATGGAGGAGGACGTAATTTAGATTAGGGATTCTTGTAAGGCATCTCTGAAGAGGTGACATTTTCAGATTCCTTGTGAAGAACCAAATGAAACCAACCCTGTGACCAGCAGAGGGACATATTCTGGGCAAAGGCTCACAGAGGTGACAACATTTAATGTAGGAGGCTAGCTGAAAGCACAATCACTGCTGATGGTAAATAATTTCACTTAAAGATTGAATTATTAACTTTGGTTTCTGGACAATTTGAAAACCCTCCTTGTAGTGTAATAGAAATCACCGAGAAGTGTGGGGGCAGAACAAAAAATTCTCTTTTCAATGCAGAGCTAAAAGTGTAAGCCAGCCAGGGAAAACGGGAGGCCCAAACAAAGAGGGAGAGAACCCCCCGAGTGTGAGACAGCAGGGCTTGGTTTGCAGGTGGGGTGAGGAGAGGAGGGAGGTTCGTGTATCCCCAACCAGGATGGGGTGCTTGAGCTTCTTTCAGCAGGCACCTGGGAGTGAAA